GTGCACCAGTCTCATTGAAGGTGATCGTCGAATCACCACCTACAGACTGATACTCCGGATCATCCAGATCATATGGCGTCCATATAAACTGATCTGGGAGCATCTGATCCGACATCATCCTGAATATACGAAGAACATGTGCACCAGTCTCAATGAAGCTGACATGGTTGGTCCACCTGCGATTATATTATTATATATTAAACTTAAGATAATAATAAAGATAAGGTTCAAAATCATATTGTTGTTGAGAATTTGAACTGCCGAAAGAAATTCAAAATGACAAAAATAAAAGGTTTTATTTAGAAAATTTTAAAAAAAAATCTAAAATTGACTGAAATTTTATTTAGAAATTCAAGTAAAATTGACTGAAAATGTTAGAAAAATATAGTGGAAGTTGGCTCAAACAAACCCTTATATTTATAGACACAAAAAATTAATACACAAATCACCGTAACAATAATGCAAAAATAATTTAACATAAATCTCAAAACCATTACCGTGCACCGTAAGGTGGTACGGGAAACTCATATCCTGCATACTCAAGTGTTGTGCCCCATTTCGCCAGAGTAGGTATGGGCCTTGATGGAGGAATCCGCATCCATGCCCATATCTGTTAAATAATACAAGAATATAATTTTTTTATAATATAAACTGCAAATTAAATGTATTAATGTACTAAATTATATAATTAATTCATTATGTTACCTGTAATAATTGAACAGGACCACTGATTTCTTTTGCAGATATCTTCGATGCTTTGCACAACTCGTGGTAGAGGACTGCTAGAGTACAACTACCCCAACTATATGTACTGACAGCATCAAGATCTTCTAAATGTCTCAAATACAGCAATGGAATAGAGTCGCCAGTGTGATCGGGACACATAATCCCCCCTACTATGAGAAAAGCAATCCCTCGAGTGTAATGAACAAGATGCTCATATGTACTATTATCAAGAACGGGATTATTGATTAAATATTCACTAAGGACTTTGACGCTCAACTTCGATCCTTTTATCTTTGATGAATCCGGTGCAAATCCCAGCCATGTCATACAATACTGCTGCCACTCACGAGTCCTACGATGAGTATCAACTCCTATGACCGGACGTCCGTCAACCGGTAGTCCGTATATCAACGCCACGTCCTGTAGGGTGACTGTCACCTCCCCTACACGCAGGTGAAATGTGTGAGTCTCCTGGCGCCATCTCTCTACTAATGCAGTGATAAGAGCCCAATCTGCTTGCATACGTCGACATCGATATACACCATATAACTTCATCTGGACCAAATAACATAACACCCGAGGATGAGGATGAGGGTTGTGCGGCCTATGAAAGACACTCCATATCCCATGATCACTTCGTCTAACTCGTATGCTCGTATCCATATTAGACTCTGTCAAAGCACTTGATCTATGATCATTCTGAAGATACAGAAGTGAGGGATCTCGGGGACCGTATACAGCGTTCTCCACCTCAATCTTGTTTCAAGTTCATGTGAAAGCACATAAGATTATTATTATTATTATTATTATTATTATTATTATTATTATTATTATTATTATTATTATTATTATTATTATTATTATTATTATTATTATTATTATGTTTCTTGTTTTATTTGTATTATGTATTTTTGCCAAGTCGAAGCCATTTGAAAGTGAAAGCGAAACCGAATTTTCAAGTCAAACATTACATAACATAACATAACATAACATAACATAACAAACACAACATAACATAACATAACATAACATAACATAACATAACATAACATAACATAACATAACATAACATAACCTAACATAACATAAGATAACACATAAAATAACTAGTGTGATTCTTGTGTTGCCCGAGATTTTCTTCTAGCACGCGCTTGTGGTCGGTCCATTTCGTTACGAATACGAGAACTTTCTGGCCTACCCCGTCGTGTAGCTTTCCGTAGGGTAACATCGTGAAATAGCTCAAAATCTGCATCCTCCCAGCACATTTCAGGCAGCAAAGGGTGAAACACGCCACTATATGTGTTCTTATGGTTTCTAACACTGTAGTAATCGGCAACCAAAGTTTCGGCATCCAAACGAAAATCACGACATACATGTTGCACATGAGAACAAGGAATCCCAAACAAGGTCCACTTATTACACGAGCATTCTTTGGCCCTAAGATCGACACAATGTGTTTTTCCTCCACCTCCTTGAGGTTTTGCCCTGGTGAATACCTCACCAGCGTAGTTGCGAGTGTTGAACCTTCTCATGTAATGTGTCGTCGAATGTTCCTCCCATAATTTGAACTTCTTCAATGGAAATTCGGCCCATCGTTGTCCCAATTGCTCCCATTTATTACCTTTCGCTACTCGATTAATAAAGTGCTTAACCACTCGATGAAATGTAAAATCTACAATAGCTGTGACAGGCAGTTTACGAGCACCTTTCAAAGCACCATTGATGGACTCGGACAAGTTGGTCGTCAACTGACCGCGTCGAGACCCTCCATCATGTGCTAAAGTCCACTTTTCTCGATCCATGTTCATCAAGTATCTGAGTGCATTGGGATTTTCCTCCCCAATCTTGTCCAAATACCGGTTCAGCTTCCAAACCTGAGATTGTTTTCCAGCAGCGTAACAAAAATCTTTCACCACAATGCTCTTAAACTTGGCGTTGACATTTGAACAAACATGCCTCAAACAAAATCGATGGGTGATACGAGGGGGCCGAAACTCGGGCATTGAATCGATGGCACTTAAAATACCGGTTCCTCGATCCGAAATTATACAAATACCATCTGATATGCCCGAAAGTAAATGTTTGTCAATGCATTTGAAAAACCACTTCCATGCACTTGCGGTCTCTTCATCAACAATTGCATACGCAAGTGGTAGAACTTGTTGATTCGCATCCAAACACACAGCAAGCAACATCTTATGTTTGTACTTAGTGTACAAATGAGTTCCATCGACGCTAATCACCCGACGACAGTATTTGAAACCATCAATACACGGCTTGAAGGCCCAGAAGACGTATTTGATTATGAATTTCGATGGATGATTTGTCGCGTGATGTTCCCACTCAACAGCTGTGCCTGGATTCCTTTGTTGCAGTGCTTTCATAAATTTTGGCAACTTCTGTACCGAACTCTCCCATGTTCCATATACATTTTCTCTGCATCGCTTCAAAGTGTACCATGCCTTCATGTAGGATATCTCATATCCTATTTGCGCGGTCACAATCTCTCTTGCCTTTGAAATTTCACAAACTGGATTTTCACGAACACTTTTCAATAGAATTGCGGCGCAATAATTGATGTTCAAGTTGCCATGATTGTTTGTCATCCCTTGCATACCGCAACTATGATCGCCATCGTAGATCCCAATCATAAATTGTCCTCTATCCCCAATTCTTGATGCTCTTAGCCTCCATCTGCAAGGTCGTGCTTCAGTGTCGTGTTTGCAGATAACCTTCCAAGTTCTTTTTGTACTTTCGATAACTTTAAACTCTCTTCTGGCAAATCGAATGGAGTGGTCTCTAACGGCTGAAATGACCCTTGCTTTACTATCGAAAATCATCCCCTTTTCGAGAGTACCTTTGCTGCTATCATAAAATTTTGACCACATACCCGACGGAACATCAATGGAATCAGCTGGGATTTCAGGAAATGACAGGGAGTAGTACGAAGGTGGATCATAAAACTGAGTAGGAGGTTCTGCAAATGATGGATTGCTGACATGAACATGAGAAGTTGATGGAATTTCTGCCTGCGATATTGTTTGTACAACGTCATCAACGGCTTCGATATTCTCATCGTTGTTCTCTTCACCACTATCATCATCGTCTCCATGGTCGGACGGTTCAGAGTCGCTTCGAACATTTGGCCCATGTGCATCTCCGAAAGGATCATCGTCATCATTATTATCACAATGACGAGTTTCATTCGGAAGATCAAAATTTTCATGAGCATTTCTCATGCCACTTGATTCCCCAATATGTACCCCAAGATTTTGATAAGAATGCCTCGATGGCCCCGCTTCAAAGCCCATATTGGAAAACCCTTGTGTAACCGCAACTAACTCAGGACTTGTTTGCATAAATGAATTGTACGCATCATTCAAATCAAAATGTTGTGAAGGTCTCGAAGGGGAGTAGAGAGGTTCTGATGTAGTGAATTGTGAAGGTCTCGAAGGGGAATAGAGAGGTTCTGATGTACTGAATTGTGAAGGTCTCGAAGGGGAGTAGAGAGGCTCTGATGTAGTGAATTGTGAAGGTATCAAAGGATTGTATAAAGGCTGAGACTCAACATAAACATCTATGGAATCGTTTCCTTCATCCGGGTGCAAATAGATTTCTAAATCATCATCACTTGTTATCTCAGAAACTATCTCGCTCCACTGATTTTGATACCATCGTGATATTTTGCCCGACACCGATAACACAAATTCATTTCTATCTATTCGGCAACGTGAGTATATTTTCGCCAAAAAGTCAGAGAAAGATATATCGCGTTTCACTCGTACGACTGTATGATGAGGTTGATCATAATTCACTGACAATCCCTCATGAACAATATGGCCTCCTATATACACGAAAACTTTGACAGTATTCCTACCCGGAGTCGCCATTGAAACCCTATATTTTGATATTTTGAGATTATTTTTTTTTTTTGAAATATTAAATATTTTCTAATTTTTTTATAGCTACAAACACTAAATATTAGATTATAAATCAGTTAAAACAAACAATTAATATTTAATATTTTCTAATTCGTTTTATAATTTGAGAGTTCGAAAACTATTAATTTGTATATTATAAATCCTTAAAAAATTGTGTAATTCGTAATTTTTCGACACATTCATATAACACTTTAATTGTGTAATTCAAGTAAAACTTTAATTAACCAATAAAATATTTAATTTACCTCAAAGATAATTGAAGATTTGCTAGCACCCACAATCACTTCTCACTCCACCACAAGTTAGACTTCCACCTAGTTAAAAAACCATCAAAATAAAAATTTCAGCAATTATTTAATAAACAGGAAAAAAATAACAGCTCCAACCCCAAGTTGTACTATATTTGTACAATATAACAAATAATTACCTTCAAATTATTATTATTTGCTAGCTACAAAAATCCCTTCTCAAACCACCACAAATTACACTTCCAACCTAGTTATAACAATAAAACAAAAAAAATTAAATTTTCAACAATAAAAAAAATAAAATTTGTACAATATAACAAATAAATACCTCCAAATAGTTATTATTTGCTAGCAACGTAAATCCCTTCTCAATCAACCACAAATTACATTTCACCTAATTATAACAATCAGAACACAACAAAATTTAAATTTCAGCCATTATTTAAAAACAAGAAAAAAAAACCATGAAAAGATGTTAAATTATTAAAACATGAGATCAAAAGTGAAACTAATGTAAACTTGAGGGGCTAATGCCATAACTAATACTACCAATTTATCCACTAACTTACTATTAATTAATTAATTAATTTATCCTACTAATTATTCTACTCGTATCATATTTAAACCATTAAAAAAAATTAAAATTTCAGAAATTATTTAAACACAACTCGTGACAAGTTCAAGTTCCCCTTCGAGAATTATTTAAACACAATTTATCCACTAACTCACTATTAATTAATTAATTTATCCTACTAATTATTCTACTAATCAAACATTCCTTCTTAAATCCACCACAAGTTCAAATTTAACCTAAAAGTAACAAGTAAAAACAACAATAAAAAATTGAATTTCATAAAAAATTATATATATTTTAACAATACAATAAATAATTTATCTCCAAATAATTAATAAGTTACTAGATAAAAATACCATTAATCCACCATTAATAAAAATTTAACAAAATTATATTAATAACTAAAATCCTATTTAACTATAATAATTGAAAAAGTGAAAAAATTACCTCAATAAGTAACCTGCTGAAATTAATTAAAATTACCTACATTAATTAAAATATAAATTAAAAACTACAAATAAACAATAATTAAAAAAAAAAAAAAAGAGAGCAAAGAACACTTACATTTGTTGTTGGGAAGAAGGGAGCAGTGGGAGAAAGGGCAGCAAAAATGAGGGGTGAAGGAAATTATTTTTCGGATTAAATATATATATATATATTCGGGTAAATCAGGGCCGTCAGATCGAGAAGGATCGGACGGTCCTTAAAACGCGTGGTTTTAAATGACGCGTTCAACCCTGACAGGTCAAAGCGCGTCGTTCAAAACGACGCGTTTTAAGGACCGTCAGATCTTGTCTTCAATCCGTGACCGTCAGATAACGAGGACAAAATAGGAGATCTGGCCGTTGATCGCAGCTCGATCCAACGGTCCGCAAAGTGCGTCTTTCAAAACGACGCTTTTTAAGGACCGTCAGATCTTGTCTTCAATCCTGGCCGTCAGATTAGGAGGGAGATCTGGCCGTCAATCTCAGATCAATCCAACGGCCCTTAAAACGCGTCGTTTTAAACGACGCTTTATTGTATTTTTGTAAATAATTATAAAATGACCCCAATTCTCAAAAAAAAAACCCGAAATATTCTAAAAAAAAAAATGGCCCCATTGGTAATAGATATTTTACCGTTGTAAATGCAATTATGAATTGTGAAGAACTGAAATGTATTTTACCGTCTATTATTATTATTATTATTATTATTATTATTATTATTATTATTATTATTATTAATAATATTAAAATCTATAAATATCTATTAAAAAAAAGAACTGAAAGGTCTTCTATTTTTTAGGCAAATTACGGCCACCCCTGAGTTAACCATAAATTAATAAAACTTTCATTATGTTTGGGTAATTACAAACCACCCCTCAGTTTTGTATTATTTTACGAAAAAAACCCGCAAGAGGTAAATTTAGGGATGCTAAATTAGTAAAATCAAACCAAAATTTCGGTACGCCAACATTTTATACCGTTTAGCAAACTGATAATACGATTTGTTTCGATAAATAACTGAATTACATAAATTGTATGTAAAAATATTTAAAAGGAGGGTGTCCGTATAATTACCCAAACAATAGTTTTTTTTTCTTTTCGTAATTTGGTTATATTTGAGGGGTGCCGTAATTTTCCCTGATAATATTAAAATATATAAATGTCTTTTATTATTCTTTATTCGAAAGCGAAAGGTCTTTTATTCGTCTTCGTCTTCCACTACCGTCCTGCGACTACTATACAGCATAACAGTGCATTCGAGTTCTGCTTTAATGGAGGAATTACACAAGGCATTGAACGATCAAGGTTTAACAATTTCGACGCTACCTGAAAAAGGTCGCTGCATTTTCACCACCCGCGATTTCTCCCCAGGTATTTCTGAAGAAACTTCCGCCCTCCTTTTTCAATAATTTCATAAATTTCGATCAACTTTTTTTTTTTTTTTTTTTTTTTTTAATTTAAATGCGAGATCGTGGTTATTATACTATAGGGGAAGTGATTATAAGTCAGAGTCCATTTGTTGCTGTTCCGAATGTGTACGAAGAATCGCCTGAATCAAAGTGCGAGTGGTGCTTTTCATCGAGCAACATCAAGGCATGCTCTGCTTGCCATGCTGTTTGGTATTGTAGCACCACTTGTCAGGTAAAATCAACTAAATCGCTCACAACTGTAAAATAAAATAAAATAAAATAAAAATAAAATAGAATTATGGTTTTTCTAATAGGTACTTGAATTTATCCTTTGTGTGTTTTGCTGAGTTGCAAATTTTCTTGTGATGTGTTTCAGAAATCAGATTGGAAGCTTCACCGCGCGGAGTGTAAATCACTGTCGAAAGTCGAGAAGGAAAGGCTGAAATATCTAACGCCGATGATACGTTTGATGGTGAAGCTCCATACAAGGCTTAAGCTAGAAAAAGAGAAGGTGATTTGATGCTTTCTAGATTCCGATTTTAATGAAATGACAATGTTACATTGTTGTACCGAAATTTTAGATCAGTCATAAATGTAGATAATAGTATTGCTCGTGGAAAAAAATAACGAAATTAAATGTGGAAACTGTATCTAGTATGTTATCTTACACGATGTCTTCGATTATCTATCTTTGTTACATGGCATAGATATGCTTTCTGCATGTGTGTTCCAAACCGATGTGTCAACCACTAATATGAACTGAAATTATACGCTACTTTATTTACTAGAGAGAATTGATAAATTAGGGGATAATTGGATTCTTGGAGAAGCTTGCTTGAATAGCAGCTCACGATTGTTGTTTCATCATCGGATTGCAATTTGCTAGCATTAGATTTCCTGATTATTGTTATGTTTCGAGTTTAACCTAACTACGATGGTGTTCTTATTGCTTCTAGAACTTTCCGACTACTGATACGGATAATAGCAAGCTCGTGGAGGCCTTGGGTTCTCGTATCCTGATTTACTAAGCACCATATACTTTATGCTTTCAGCTATATAATCGAACATATTTCTATTCTTAACAAATTTAAATAGATATGTCTGATGTAGACCAGAAACAATTGGTAAATTACACCCAAATGGCTGCACTTGTCAATGCTATACTTCAATGGCCTGCTTCTGAGATCAATATGAAAGATATTGCAGAAAATTTCTCCAAGGTATTACTTCTTTCGATCACAATTTGCGCATAATTTTAGTTTCCTTTTATTGTGGGATCGATTCCTCTCTATTAAGAGATAAACTTCCAATCTACTATCCGAGTTAAGTATGTAATGACATTGTTTATAAATATGCAGCTATCGTGCAATTCACATACTATTATCGACAGTCAACTACTGGCAATTGGAACTGGACTTTACCCCGTCATTTCTCTCACTAATCACAGGTACGGTTTATAATATTTGTTATTACCCTGTCATTTCTCCCACCACATTTTATTACTGGTTCTAACTAGTATTTTGGCGTTTTAGCTGTGTACCCAATTCTGTTCTATTATTTGAGGGAAGATTGGCTGTGATACGAGCTATGGAGCATATGCCAAAAGATACTGAGGTAACTCTTTTTAATATCATGTAGATTTTTTTTTTTTAATCTTTTTTTATTCTAAATTGAATTCTAACACGTTATTCTCGTTTAATTCCGAAGGTTTTGACGAGTTATATAGATACTGCGGGAAGCACTGTAACTCGGCAAAAGGCTCTTAAAGAGAAGTATTTCTTCACTTGTTCCTGTCCTCGCTGCATAAAATTGGTACTTCTCGATATTTTACCTTTTTTTTCATTACATTTTTGGAATGCACCCTCGATTTCTGGTTTTCTGAATTAGGCTATTTTTCTTGTCTTAGGGACAACCCGATGATATTCGAGAAACTGCGATTCTAGAAGGTTATAGGTGCAAGGACAGCTGTTGTGATGGATTTCTGCTTTGTGGCTCTGGTAAACCTACATTAATTGAATTTTAGAAATGTTTGCTCTTTTAATTAAATCTTTCAAGTCATTTCACTCTTTTGTCTCTTATTTAATATCAGATAACAAAGGGTTCGTATGCCAGAAGTGTGGGCTTGTTCTAAGCAACAAGGAACTAAGTACCATCACTAATGAACTGAAATGTATTTCAGACAAAGCTTCCGTCTCACTTTCCTCTGGCCGTATCCTTTTCTTGATATGAATAGATCCATTATATTCACGGTAATCGATAATTATACCGATTTTAGTAAAAATACATTGTTTATGGAAAATCCTTAAAAAAAATCAGGTAAAAGTGAGGCAAGTGTGGCTTATAAGAGGATTGAGAAACTTCAACTGAAGCTATACCATCCATTTTCGATCAGTATTATGCGAACGAGAGAGACACTTCTGAAGGTAAGCATGTAGTTAGTTAAATTTTACGTTCGTGATATAAAATATTTTTGTTTCCACTATATATATTAACTCATATTTAAAACAACTCATTTATTCCCATATGGAATGTTCGATTTCTTTGCTTACCCAAAACTCACTGACGAACTCTTATTTATATCATTAGATATCGATGGAGCTGATGGATTTCAAAGGAGCACATTCGTACTGCATATCAGTAATTCAGATTTACGAGAGTATGTATTCATAGACCTCGTGCAGTGAAACTTCTAGATTCTTCTCTGCTTTTACATTATTTACACTGCTTCTACACAGGAGTATATCCGAAATGCCATCCTTTGCTTGGACTGCATTATTACTTGTGTGGGCAAATTGAAATGTAAGAATTGAGCAAAACCCGAAAACTTCCTAGTGATAATAATTATACATATTTTTAATTTTCAAGTCATTTATTAAAGTTTCATTAATGTTGGAAACTATATAGCAAAGTTGAAATTATTCAATTTTATAGGTTGATGGGAGAGAAGAAAACGACGGTTGAGTCACTGAAGAAAGCTTACAACATATTTCGAATCACTCATGGAACAAAAACACCGTTCACTATGGAGCTTAAGACTAAGTTGGATGAAGCTCGTGCAATGGCTTCGCTCGGGCGGATGAAGATTAAATCTTAAAAGCATGGTGCTATATATATATATATATATATATATATATATATATATATATATATATATGTGTGTGTGTGTGTGTGTGTGTGTGTGTGTGTGTGTGTGTGTGTGTGTGTGTGTGTAGCCTTTTGAAGATTTTCTCTAAATATTGCTACATTGTGGATTTGTAATATAGGGCATTTGCCCGTAAACTGTTTCGACCAATGGCGTTCGATCGTTTTGAACTTCGACGGAATGTTTATTGTGTGATCATACATGTAGAAAATTGCACTAGATCGACAATTTATGGAGCTTACCAGCAAATAGAGTGTTTAAAAGGTTTGTGAAAAAAGTTAAAATTGTTTTTTGTTTTAATACAAAAATAAATGATGGGCCTTATCTAAAAAATACGGTTTATGGCCCAATACCAGCTTTGTTAGTCTAAGCCCAAGTTAGAAATTATGTGATATAACTCATATTACGTTCAATTATCCAAAAAATAAATAGAAAAAAGTAAAATTTATGATATTCAATTTATTTATGGTTCCTTTTAGCATAATTAAATCACATCAGTAACATATTGAAAATATTTAGGCCCCGTTTGGTTGATAAGATAAGATTAGCCAAGATAAGATTAAATAATCTAATGAGACCCAATTATTTTATTGGAGCTTGAAAGGTCGAACAAACAAAACTCATTAAGAGGCAAGATAAACCAAGATAAGGCAAGATAAGCCATGATTATTTAATTTTGGCGTGTCGATCTGGCAAGTTATTGAGGATACCAAACATCAAATTAAGTCCAACTATTTAGTTAATCATGGCTTATCTTAGCGACCAAACGTGGCCTTAGTGTATAATTCTATTTTTAATTGATAAACTAATAAGCTTTACACCGCGCGTGTATTTATGAATTATGAAGAACTGAAAAGTCTATGTATTTATCCCAAAAAAAAAAAAAAAAAAAAAAAAAAGGTGAACTGAAAGGTCTGTCTAGAGTCTTCTTCTAATATCACCCTTCTGCAACAAACACACTACACACACTACACAGCAGCATAACAGTGCATTCGAGCTCCGCTTTAATGGAGGAATTACACAAGGCACTGAAAGATCAAGGTATAAGAATTTCGACGCTTCCAGGAAAAAGGTCGCTGCCTTTTCACCACCCGTGCTTTTTCCCCAGGTGCTTAAATTTCCGCGGTACCTTTTTTCTTTTTTTTTTTTTGACCTTTTTTTTTTTTAATATATGTATAAATGCAAGATTGTGGTTGTATTTTATGCTGTAGGGGAAGTGATTATAAGTCAGAGTCCATATGTTGCAGTTCCAATAAAAGATGAAGAATCGCCTGAATCAAAGTGCGAGTGGTGCTTTTCGTCGAGCAGCATCAAGGCATGCTCTGCTTGCCGTGCTGTTTGGTATTGCAGCAGAGAATGCCAGGTAAAAAAAAACATGGAGATTCCTGTAAATATTGAATAAATTTAGGGCTATTTCAGTTTTCAACTTACATGATGGAATTATGGGGTTTATATTGTTACTTTGATTTTTTTTTTTTTTGATAAGTTGCAACTCTTGTGAGAATGTTTACAGAGATCGGACTGGATGCTTCACCGTGTTGAATGTAAAGCGTCGAAAATCGTTACGGAAATGATGAAACCTCTAACGCCAGTGATGCGATTGTTGGTGAAACTGTATATAAGGCGTAAGCTAGAAAATGAGAAGGTGGTTTTTGTGCTTCTTGATTCCGGTTTATCGTATTTGTACATGACTTTACTGATTGTTGTTGTTGTTGTTGTTGTTCAATAGTAAGTCATGAAATAACCATGCTGAAGTGTTATATTGAAATCCTCGACCGGGAAGAAAATATAGACGATAATATCTAGTCTATTATCTTCAAAGGAAAATCTGTTACTTTGTCTTTGCCTTCGATTATATACGAGAGAGAGAACATTCTTCTTATCAATAACTAATAAATAAGAGGGGAATTGGATTTAGAAAAAAAGTTGAATAGCATTATATTTCTTGATTATTGTTATCTTCATTTTGAACCGTCTTTTTCTCACGTGCTGTTTGTTTTTTGAGGGATTGATTAACTTTGCTTGTGCTTAACTCTCCATTATGTTCTTGTTTGCTTCTAGATCTTTCCGGCTACTGCCACAGATAATTACAAGCTTGTGGAGGCCTTGGTTTCTAGTATCCTAATTTATTACGCGCCCTATACTTTATGCTTTCGTCGATATATTTGAACATGTCTAATGCTTTTAATTCTTAACAAACTTAAATAGACATATCTGAACTCGACGTGGAACTATTGTTATTGTCTGCCCAGATGGCTAAACTTGTCAGTTCGGCACTTCAGTTGCCTGATTCTGAGATCAATATGAAAGAGATTGTTGAAAACTTCGGCAAGGTATATATATGTCTTTCGTCCACAATTTCTACATAATCACGGATTCCTCATATTTTGAGATCAGTTCCACTCCTCAATTCAAATTATAGTATGTAACGACGATTTTTATAACTGAAATATGTTCCTGTACTCTTTGCTTACAACTGAATTATTCTGGTTTAAGGAAATGTGAATGGCTATTGTTTTTGTTCAGACTATTATCTTTTTTTTTGTTTATCAATATGCAGATATCGTGCAATTCACATAGTATTGATAACAGTGACCTGAAGTTTGTTGGGACAGGGCTCTACCCTGTCATTTCTTTCACAAATCACAGGTACGGTTTGTAATATTTGTTATTTATGCCTCACCAAATTACTATTTCTAACTCGTATTCGGTGTTTTAGCTGCGCACCCAATTCTTTTGTAGTATTTGAGGGAAGATTGGCGGTGATGCGAGCTATGCAGCATATGCCAAAAGATACCGAGGTAATTTGTTTTTATTCATCATTGTTTCTTCTGAAAAATTGATGGGAATTCTCTAACACGTCTACTGGCATTGGATTCCGAAGGTGTTGACAAGTTATATAGAACTTTCTGACAGCACTATGACACGGCAGAAGTTTCTTAAAGAGAAGTATTGCTTCACTTGTTCTTGTTCTCGCTGCATAAAATTGGTACCGTCGATATTTTATCTTGTTCTTGATGGAATTCTCTTCCATTTTTTCAGAATGCAGAAATTCTTAACAAAGTTTCATGTCTTAGGGACAACCTGATGATATTCGAGAAACTGCGATCGTGGAAGGTTATTGGTGCAAGAAAAGCGATTGTGATGGATTTCTCCTTTGTGGCTCCGGTACAACTTTGTTAAGAATTTCTGCATTTTCGGATCTTGTGGATATCTATGAAGCAATATGACTCTTTTTTGTCTCTTATTTAATATCAGATAATAAAGGGTTTGTATGCCAGAAGTGTGGGCTTGTTCGAGACAACAAAGAAATAAGTACCATCACTAATGAACTGAAATGTATTTCAGACAAAGCTTCCATCTCCCTTTCCTTTGGTCGTATCCTTTGCACGTTTCGATACAAATGCATTTTATACATTATTGCTTGTGAGGTAATCGATAATTTTTCCAATTTTTAGTAAAAAAATATTTGTGTATGGGTAACCGAAGGGATGAAAACGAAGCGGGATCCTTAAAAAAGTTCAGATACAACCGAGGCAAGTGTGGCGTATAAGAGGGTCGAGGAACTTGAACTGAAGTTGTACCATCCATTTTCAATCAGTATTATGCGAACCCGAGCGAAACTTCTAAAGGTATATCGTGAGTTAAGCTTTTCAGTCACTTGATTGTGTTAACGCTTACCGACGAAACCGTATATATATCTTTAGATATCGATGGACCTGGACGATATGGAAGGAGCACTATTAAATATCAGATCGATAATTCAGATTTACGAGAGTACGTATTCATGCATTGACTGACCTTTTGTTTTCTACTAGAACGAATATTTGTTAAACTTCTAGTTTAATGCTTTTGCTTATACGCAGGAGTGTATCCAAAATGGCACCCTTTAATCGGAGCGCGTTGCTATTTATGCGGACAAATTGAAATGTAAGGAACCCTAGTTCCTATTTACGTTCGTTTCCTTTCGGTATTAATCAATGTTTTGAAACTCTAGCAAAGTTGAAATATATTTGATCTTACAGGGAGCTGGGATATATGGTAGGGGCAATTGAGTCTTTGACTAAAGCTTATAACGTATTCCGAATCACTCATGGAACAAATTCACCTTTGACAATGAAAATTACGAGTAAGTTGGCGGAAGCTCGTGCAAAGGCTTTGGCTTCGTTCGGGCGGATGAAGATTTAATTCGAGTGGAATATACCCTTTTGAAAAAGATTCTCTCCGAATTTACTACATTACATATTTTGCATATAATATGATCTCGTGATTTTGGAACCGTTGTGATTTTGAATTTCGACCGGAAAGTTTTGCATTCGCCCGTAAACCATTTTGGTAATGGAGCAGTAGAAATGGTCGTTTTTTTGTTTGACCTCGGTAAATTTTGTAAACTACATTGTTCACTTAATATTACTTTCAAACATGTCTATGATTGAAATTCCATTTGTTAAATATGACTAAGTTTTTATTAATCATAATTCACCTTAATTAATTAACTAACGATTTGATTTTAATTAAATCAACTGAATACACAGTTTTCATTGAAAAAGAATAATTCAAATTTTCAAACAAATTAAACAATTTTATCTAAAAAAATATTCAAACTTTACGGTTGAAACACTAAATATGTGAATTGTGAAGGACTAAAATGTCTTTCAAGATAAAGTATGGGGACCAAAATATAAACAAACGAGTTTAGTCTTCTTTCCCTACAGTCTTATTTCTAGTACTGAATACTGGACCTTCTGCAACTTTCGGAGTTCCGCGTTAATGGAGGAATTACAGAAGTTCTTAAACGATAAAGGTTTAGCAGTTTCGACGCTTCCTCAAAAAGGTCGCTGCCTTTTCACCACTCGCGATTTTTCCCCAGGTTTTTTTTCTAGAAAATTCGCCCTTCTTTTCAGTAATTTCTTAATTTTGAACATTTTTTTTATTTTTCCTGCAAAATTGTGATTGTGATTTTCGATGTTGTAGGGGAAGTGATTATAAGTCAAATCCCATACGTTGCTGTTCCAAATAAGAACAAAGAATCTCCCGAATCAAAGTGTGAATGGTGCTTTTCGTCGAACACCCTCAAGGCATGCTCTGCTTGTCGTGTTGTCTGGTATTGCAGCAGCAATTGTCAGGTAAAAATGGAAGAGATCATCCTGAATTTCTATAGCTACTCTGATTTGTGTGTGTGTGTGTGTGTGTTTTGGTAATTTACAACTTTTTTTGTGATATGTTTCAGAAATCGGATTGGAAGTTTCACCGAATAGAGTGTCGAACATTGTCGAAAGTCGACAAGGAAAGAGTGAAACTACTAACGCCTTCCGTGCGTTTGATGGTGAAACTTTGTATAAGGCGTAAGCTAGAAATCGAGAAGGTAATTTTTCGATGCTTCGAGATTCTGAATTCCGTATTCATGTGATGTTCGTTCTTTCAAGGGATTAACCCTAACTTCCACGATGTTCGTGATGCTTCTAGATCTTTCCGGCTACTGTCGCAGACAATTACAAGCATGTGGATGCATTGGTTTCTCGTATCCTAATATAACAAACACCATTTTTCTTTATGCTTTTCAGTTATAATATATTCAAACGTGTCTGATAACTTTTATTCTTAACAAACTTAAATAGACATGTCCGAAGTCGAAGAGAAACAATTGATATTGTACGCCCAAATGGCTAACCTCGTCAATTTGATACTTCAATGGCCCGATTCCGACATCAATATCAAAGAGATTGCAGAAAACTTTTCCAAGGTATAATTGTAGATTTTGTTCTACTTGTACGTATTACAATGTCGTTGCTGTTTTCTTTGATTGAAAATCATTTTTTTTTTATTCTACCAACTTATTTTAATTTGTTAATAATATGCAGTTAGCGTGCAATGCACATACTATTTGTGACAGTGAACTGAGGCCCCTCGGAACGGGACTTTACCCCGTCATTTCTATTATAAATCACAGGTAAATTTTTCATAATATTTATTATAATGCCTCACCAAATAACTCTTTCTAACTAGTAACTTTTGTTTTAGCTGTTTGCCCAATTCTGTTCTAGTATTCGAGGAGAGATTGGCTGTGGTACGAGCTATGCAGTATATTCCAAAAGGTACCGAGGTAATTCGCCTTTAAAATCCTACTGGTTGATTTCATTGGCTAGTGTTTTCGCATATGTAGAATATTTATTTTTTATTCATCAATTCTTTTCTTCTGATTTTAAGGTGACGATAAGTTACGTAGAAATTGCTGGAAGCACTATAACTCGACAGAAGTCTCTTAAAGAACAGTATTTCTTCACATGTTCTTGTCCTCGTTGCATAAAATTGGTACTATTTCATCTGGTTCTTGGTGAAATTTTATTACATTTAAATGCACCCTCCATTTATGGTTAATTTCATGTCTTAGGGACAATCCGAAGATATTCAAGAAAGTGCGATTCTAGAAGGTTATAGTTGTAAGGAAAGCGAATGTGACGGATTTCTCCTTCGTGATTCCGGTACACCCTTACTTAATCTTTGAATTTTGTGTGCATAGCTATAAAGGGTTTGTCAGTAATTTCACTCTTTTGTCTCTTATCCTAACATCAGATAATAAAGGGTTCGTATGCCAAAAGTGTGGGCTTATTAGAGACAAAGAAGAAATAAGTGCAATCGCTAATGAAGTGAAATATATTTCCGATAAAGCTTCTAAATCACTTTCCTCTGGTTGTATCCTTTGAACTTCTTTATGTAAACGAATAATTGTACCTGTGCATGAATAATTGAAGGTATTTGAAAGAAGTGGATCCTTAAAAAAAATTCAGATAAAATCGAGGCAAATGAGGCTTATAAGAGGATTGAGGCACTTCAACTGAAGCTATACCATCCGTTTTCGATCTTTCTTATGCGGACTAGAGAAGCTCTTCTAAAGGTATGCAGTAAGTTAAATTTTACCTTTTTTATGATATTATTTTTTTTGTATCCGTTTCAACTGAATTCGTGTAGCTATACGTCGGTTTACTTGTCTTTTCTTTCGTAATTTTTGTGTTACTAAATATCATTTTTGGAAGTGGGAATAAACTTTGACTTGTTTAGCCTTATTGACACTTCTGTATATCCAACCCTAAATTGTCGTTTTAGGAAATGTGGAAAGATCGTCTATAAAATCTCGTACTTGAATTTATAAACTGGCTGCATTCACTTTCTTCGCTTGATTGCTTTTTTCGTTTATTTAAGTTATTATTATTATTATTTTTTTCAAACACGTATTCGGAACTAATCCATTGTGTTAATATACTTGCCGATGAAACGTTATATATCTTTAGATATCGATGGATCAGCAGGATTGGAAAGAAGCACTTTCATATTGCAGATTAACAATTCCAATTTACGAGAGTATGTATTCATTGATCTCATGCAGTGAAACTTCTAGATTCTTCTATGCTTTTACGTTATTTACACTGCGCTTCTACACAGGAGTATATCCGAAATGCCACCCTTTGCTCGGACTGCAGTACTATATGTGTGGAAAACTCGAATGGTGATATTTTACTATGCTACAATTTTATTGAATTTGGTTGTTTTTTCTAGCATATGCTTACAATTTTATCCGGTGATTATTTTATTAAATTTGCAGGTTTCTCGGGGAGACTGTAGCGGCAGTTAGGTCAATGACGAAAGGTTTGGATGTATTGGGAATCACTCATGGAACGAAGACACCGTTTGTAATGGAACTTACGAGCAAGTTGGAGGAAGCTCGTGCAGAGGCTTCGTACACACAGAGAAGATGATTTTTGCAATCTGCTATTATTTTTTTTTTCTACATCACGTAGAGTTATTTTTGTAATTAAAAAGGCACTTACGATTAGGTGAAGTTTGCGAACTGAGATGATGACTATGTTACTAGAATTACGTATAAAATTGAGAAATTCTGATTTTCAATCCGATTGTAATTACGAAAAAATAATCCCAAAATTTCCAAAAAATGCATTTATAAAACAACAAAATGAGCTCAAAGAGAAAACCCTAGCTTTCAGGACTTAATTGCATTTTCGTATTCGTCGTACATATTTTTCTCAAAAATCAATACATTATATGTTCTCAAAATACATGCATATGTACAGCCTCACAGAAGAAGAAACGACTAAAACACAACCTAGCTTGCATAATCAAACGGACATATATTTATAGAAAGAAAAAAGTCGGACTACTTAAGCTTGATGCTTAGGTTGTCCTAAATGTAGCCTAAACCATAATTGGATCATAAAAAGTCGTCGAGAATTCTAACTGCTGCTAACTGGCTGTGTGTGTATCTTCATAAACTTTCTAGCTGCTCCTGAAGCTGAAAGCAACCTGTAGAAATTCTACAAAGTAGCTTTCGCAATTCGTTTCTTGACAACAAAGACGAGTCATCGAATTGTACTAACGATCTAGGGTCCATCACCATACTCTGGAGCTGCGAGCACAGATTCAAACCCTTCTCATCATTTGCACTACACTCAGCAATTAGCTGAAACAACGTGCATTTTGGGCTGGCTAGTTTAGGTGGAAGTGGAGGAACAAGAAAAGGGTGTTGTAGTAGCTGAGGAATTCTCCACCTCTCGTTTCTATCCCAAGCAAGGCATTTCTTCATAAGATCCAAAAGCCAGGTGTTGGTCAATGGTTCGTAAATAATTTCGTGATTTGGGTCCGTTATGATTTTGAATTTTGACCAGAAAGTTTTGTATTCCGAAAAGGGCGTTCGCCCGTAAACCATTTGATAAAGGATGCAACCGAGTGACCATATATCCGATGGGCGCCCACACTTTATCGTGTTTCCATTTGCATCCGTTTCGTTACACAGGAATGCTTCTGGTGACATGTAACTTAGTGTTCCCACCTATAATTATTACATCATCTTTAACATTAAGGGGAAATAAATAACACTTCAATGATATATAGTTAAAGAAAAAAAAAAACCTGCGAGTCTCGTTGAATGTTTGTTGTGTCACTCATGATAGCTTTGGCGATTCCGAAATCAATTAGCTTTAGTGAACCCCTCACTAGAAGAAAATTTGCTGGCTTTAGATCAGAATGCACAATGCGTTCCTCGTGAATGGTGCTTACGGCTAGAAGTATTTGCTGCAAGATATACTTAAATGATTGAGATGTCTAATGAAGCTTAAAAATTCCTTTTAATACTATTTATCTTAAAGAAATGGAGTTCATGAAGAACCTGCCAATAAAATCTGAGCCAGTTCTCGTCGATGAATGAATCAGAACCATCCAGTTCTTTCCATTTATGAGAGAGCATGTGTGCTAAATCGATTTCTCCATATTCAAGTACCATGTATATATACGCGTCATCTTTGAGCCTGCCATCTTTATTACTCATGGAACCGTTCATCACTTCTTGAAGCAGAGCCTTATCTGTCACCTAATAAGGAAATTAGATATTAGTTTCTACATGTGCTTTGCTTTCACAAGAAACATAAACTTCATACGAGGAAAAGTTTTTCCTGCAAAAAGCTTCACTGCTTAAAATCCCTATTTCTTGAATGTTTTGGGTCTTTACATATAGCAGCCTAACAAGTTGTATATGAGTCGCAGCTAGTATCTGTTAAAGCAGTACATATGTACCTCAAAATCAATGAGCTGAATAATGTTGCTCTTCCCCTTCAGTCGATTCAAGTATCCGATTTCTTGGCAGAATCCATATGCTGTGGCATAGTCACGGCCTTTAAGTTTAATCTTCTTCAAGGCATAAATTGTGCAATCTGATGATATGACTTTGTGGACCTCACTACTCCCACCACTACCTATCTTGCCGAGTCTTTGATATAGCTTACCGTTGACTTTGAAAAACAAGTCAGGATCATAACCTTTTCTACTACGAGATGTCGAAGCTGCTTTACCAGTTGTACCTCTTTCTAATTTCTCTGGCTTGGAATTTTCTGATTTTACATCTGACGAAGGTACCACCTTTGAAGATGGAGGCTGAGATTTTAAGTCGATCGTGCTTTCTTTGACTGAATCATTAACTTCATGAGAAGAATCTTTGGCATTATTATAATCTCGAGGCAAACTACTCTGCGGCTCCTTTGATGGGGCTAAAGATTTCTCAACTTCCATTGATGTTGCATAAACGGAGCTCACAGCTGACTGATTAGATAACACTCCACCAGAAGATGGCTGCACAACATCCATTTTAGGCTGGGAGGAATAGGTTTTTGAGTTCATTAATGTTGTAATACAAGAAGATCCAATTACTGATGATTGAGTTATTGCATTGCTCAAATCATTCTGTAAAAAGTTTCCGAACTGGTTGAGCTTATCTTGAGCACCCATCGTTGTTCTAACCAACAGAGATGAATTTTCTCCCTCGGGTCTGACATTTTTATCCATTTCCATGCTCTGGAAATTATGATGCTGTCGGCCTTGATTATCAACAGATGAATTCTTCACTTGATTGCCCGTTTCCAATTCGATTTCTGTCAATGCAAGTGAATCCATATGAGACAACAAATCATGTATTGCAGTGGCCATTCGGTCATCGGCCCCTGCATAGACAATTTCCAATATACCCTATAAATTGCAAACAACTACTAACAAATTTCACCAAGCTACATGTTAGTAACTAACTCTCTTTTGATACTCACACTGCCAGAAAAAAAATTCTTATTTAAGCATCAGCTGAGAGATAGAAACACTAATTACCGCGAGATGTGGTAATGTTCTCCACGGAAGAGTCAACCTTCCTTTGCAACTCATCTACAACATTCTCAGGTTCCACACTCGACGAAGCAACTGCATCATCGAGCCTGGGTAAATCTATCTGAGATTTGATTGGCTCAAAATTTTCTTCACGCGCATTCACAGTGGCACCCAATTCTGGAGGTGGAGTATTTGATTTATCATCTTTATTCTCTCCACGAACAAAGACACTGGATTTGGAATGTGGAACGGTGCCCCTCGATTTGTGACTTTGCGGAATATCCTCTTTGCTTTTATTGACATCAATTGCTGAATGAGGTTTTACATTTGATTCTTTCGAAGTTCCTCGCTGAGCAACCAAAATTCGCCTTGGCCTAATCACATTTGGCTGCATCATACCTATATATCCCCATGACCGGAACACAAAATAAAAATAAAAATATAAAATAAAAAATCCAAAATTTAGGCAGCAATTCCAGCACACCAGCTTCAAAGGTAAAATTAAAACAGAGAGCCTAATAACAACAAAATCTTACTATTAACTACAATTAATTGCTTTAAAGTGGGTAATAAAAGAAGATACTGTAACTACAATTAATTAAGCGAGACAGTAGCGAACATATATGAATCCTGCCTAAAATTCTGTAGCCCTAGTGTGGTCGGTTTCGAGTAATTTATCTTAGAGAGTGTGTGAGTATACCTAGGGGACGGTGTCGTTTGAAAGCAGCTTGAACTTGGCGGACCAAGTCCGGAGGGGAAGATGAAGAAGACGACGTCGTCGAGGTGCAGGTGGAGGTTGTGTTGAAGGAACGGCTGAGATTGTTGGAGTCTGTGTTGATGTTGATCGGACGGCTCGAATTGGGGTTGAGGAATTTCTCTTCCGCCGGAAGGTCAGACTCCCCTTCCATCGATTAAGCACTCCAGCATTTCTGATTCTCGGTAATTAATTCCAGAAAAATCGCAAATTCAGCATTGCGCAGAGACGCCCATTGAAGAACTGTGCTCTCTGTGTAATGCCAGAGAGAGAGAGAGAGGGAGAGAGAGAGAGAGAGAGTGAAGGATTTTTTTTTTTTTTTTTTTAATTTTATGAATTTGAAACAGCTGAAGGCGGCTTTTTTATTTATTATATTATTTATTTTTTAATTATTTTTTGATTTTGGGTTTAATATTTGAATGGGCTTTGGTTATCGACTACAACTACAAGCCCAATTTTTCTTGCGATAGGATTCCATGGAATTTTTTAGGGGTGAAAGTCGGATGGATCGAATCGGAATTAGCCTTTTCGGAAAATTTCCAAAAAAAATCGGAAGTACAAAATCAATTTCAATTCCAATTCCAAAATTTTCGGAATCTAAAAATTCATTCCAATTCCAATTCCAAAATTTTCAGAATCTAAAAATTCATTCCAATTCCAAAAGGCCCGGAAATTTCGGAATTTCGGAAAAAAATCGGAAATCACATAAGCTTTAAAATTTCGAAACTTAGCCGAAATTTTCTAAGATGTTCATAATTTTTCGAAAATAAGAGCATCCACGTCGATAAAAGTAAAACTAATAACTACTAAATTTCAGTTCAAAAAAATAAATAAAAATAAACACAGCATAATATCCAATAAAACTTCTAACAACAATTCATTATGTCAAAATCCTAAAACAAAACTTATAGGTGTATTTTTCGGAAAATAAGTATTATATAATATATACTATTTATAGGTGTATTTTTCGGAAAAAAATCGGAATTTTTCGGAATTAATTTCGGAATTAAATCAGATCGGAAGTCGGAAATTCCAAATTTATTTAATATAATTCCAATTCCAATCCAAAAAAATCGGAAAATTTCGGAAATCGGAATTTCGGAAGTCGGACTGAAAAAAGTTGTTCCAAAATCGGAATTTTTCGGATCAGAACTGGCGGAAATTGGAAAATCCGTTCCAACTTGCACCCCTAAATCTTTTCGAGAACTCCAGTCCAATTCACATAAATGGATTTAAAAGAGGAAGGTCGTTGGGGCGAACCAAAAGGAAGTTCAGTTTCCATTCTCGCTCGCCTAGAAGGGACAGAAGAAAGATCTTGTTGTTTGTTCAACATTTTTTTATATCTAGTAGGCCTCTCAGTAGGATTCGAATTCGGATGAAGTTCTGAACATCTATTAGAGAAAAAAGAACGAACCGATCTTGTAGGAATAACCGTAAATAGCCGGGACATTGAGGAATATCCAGAAAGGCATTTCGGGAATCAATCTGGTTCTATCTTTGTTCCTTCTGTTTGAAGAAAGGAAGGATTTCAAAGAATCGATCTTTCTTTGACTGGTTGAATCTCTCGTTGATTGATAATGTGTGATATTCGGAATCCTCATTACTAATGGATTGCAAATGATCTCTGGATAGATCAAAAGATCCTTTCAGTTGGTTAGAATCTGTTACTTGTACCAAATTGTGTCTGGCGACGTGCTATAGGGAAAGTAGTTTTGATAAAGGGCGAAAGATCTGCGTAATTTCAGTATTTAACTGAGGGTATTTATGGGAAATTTCAAATAGATGGGCATTTTTGGAGAACTAATTTTTGTTGGATAAAAGTGCAAATAAGTTTCCGCAATAAAAATTTATCACGAGATATTATGCCAATGTTTCATAACATAGGGTGTTTATTGCAATTATCAAATAGTTTTAACATTAAATAAATTATAGCCCGTAAAACTTGGGCCGAATTTCACTTGAACCCACTAAAACAATTGAAAAAGCCCAATTAGCCCTCGCTTTCAACTAAAGGGTTCTTCTTCGTCTATGCCAATCTCCCAAACACTCACTATTTTCAGACTTCACCGTCCGCTTTTTGTCTCCGCCGCCGACCCACGCCAAGCCAGACTCCTATCGCCGCCGCCGTGCAACTTCATAGAGGTGAGAACTTAATTTCAGTTCGATTAGGGTTTCGATTTTGAAAACAAAAGTTCAGTTTTATATAATTTCTCCTTCCATTATTTTGCCCATTTTTTGGAACTGATTATGTAAACTGATTTTATAGATAATATATTTGGCATTATGAATTGATACTTTTTCTAGTCTCTGTGAATTGTAGAGAAATTATCATGCAATTTTATTCCCTTCAATTATGTTTATACGTCGTCGTTTTGTTGGAATTTTTGCTGTTAATTGGTAATCTGTTTAATTAATGCGGCTGGGAGCTGTAAAAGTGGGATTTTAGTGATTTATGCCACCGAATTACTGCTTATGGTCTTTGATTCCTATCGGTTTCTCGTTTTTTTTTTATAATCGAAAAGTTCGACTTTGTCAACAGGAGTGGTAAGAATGAGGCTTCTAACTCATAATATGCTATCGTCGAACATCAAGGGCGTGACTAACGGTTTCCCGTTACTTATCGAGGCGGTGAAAGTGGTGGAGAAGGAAGTGGATTTCAACGAAGATTTCCTCAAAAACATGTTTGTGAAAGTCGAATGGAAGGCTCTTGTAGAAGCTTCTAGAACCCTTGGGTACACCGAGCTGCCGGAAAGTGCGGAAGCTTCCATGCTCGATTCTGACGAGTTTCTTCGTAAGTTCCACCATGCCCTTCTTGAGCTTCATCTCGAAGATGGTGCGTTGGTTTGTCCTGAAACAGGTCGTAAATTTCCTGTCAGCAAAGGAATCCCGAATATGCTGCTTCATGAAGACGAGGTGTAGTTTGTGACTTGAATGAGTTGTTGATGTTTAGGGTCTTAAACGGGACTTTTATTTACGTGCGAGTTATTGGCAATACTATTCAAAATATGTAACCGAATATTTTCAAGGGTTTCTTCTTATTGAGAAAAATGTGTGATTGTCATTCCCGAGTTTGTACGTTTTCGTATCCGGTAATTGTTGTGTAGATTGGAATTAACGGGGGCGTTTTCTTTATCCTTCGATTTGATATCTATTTAGGCCTCTTTGCTTGGTATAAGTGAGTCGAATATTAATTTCGACACTAAACGTAGGTGCGTTGCATGGAAACGAAATTAACAAGGTCGATCGACACTAAATAAAATTAATTTTTACAGACATATAAATCAACAAGGTCGATTGACACCAAATTCTTTTATTCTACCAACTTTTTTTGCATAGCATTCTTAACTTTTTATAATATTTTGAGGACTTATGTTACAAGAGTATTTTATATTTTCCAAACCTTCTAATAAAAAAATTCAAGTAATTTAATTACATTTTTCCTTTCTCCAAAAAATAAATAAAAAGAAAACAAACAAGTTGTCTAATTTATACTGGTCGGTCAACGTCAAGTCAACTGGTCTCGCGTGTTTCATTGATATCAAAGGCAACTATTCCCGAATTCCGATCACTATAAATAAATACCAATTCGCGCACATTTCAATCATCCACTTTGAACTTTCGTTTCTCGTGAGCTATGATCTCTGTTCTAGAAAACCCTACATTGAGTTCTTCCCCACGAATCGTGTTCTTAGGGTTTCCACTTTTCAGTTTCTGATCGTCTCACGCTCCCGTAGTTGAATTCGAGGAACTGTTGTTACAAGGAAAGCTCCAGAATCTCAGCTCGCGGTTTTATCAGCCACTTCAATCCGAATTCTCGCGATCGAATTTTCCGGAGTTTTACGTCATTTCAAACTGTTTTCCTCGTTTTGATTTTCGATTGGAAACTGTGAAGATTTTGTCTGTCATTTGAAGGTTTGAGGACAGATCCAGGATTTCTGCCGCGGATTTGTTTCGTGTGTTTTTCAGAATGAGTAGAATTCTGCGATTCTCAGGCATAAAAAACCTGGAACAGTTTAAATCTTTGTCTGGATCAAACATGGGAGCTTCTAATGCAAAGATGCATTCAAGTTCTACGGTCGCGCCTCCGCATCCAGTTTCTACCGGAAGCTTTGCGAATCTGAAGCTTACTGCAGGTTGTAATAACTATGCGTATTTTTTTTAGTTTTAATTTTTTCATTTTTCAGTACGTTTTTCTGGAAGTATTGTGTGCATCTGACTAATTATCACACTCGTTTCACTTTCTCCAGAGAAATTGGTGAAGGAACAAGCTTCTGCGAAAAATGACCTTGAATTGGCGGTAAATTGAAATACGAAATAACAGTCTCTCGTTAATTTCTCTGGCTGCACACATATTCTATGCATAGACTAAGTTCTACGTATTTATTTCTACATATTCATGTGCACACGTGCATATAAATTTTTGATGTTCATAGTTCACATATTTTATGTGTTATTTGTATGGTTATCTCTAGATGTAAGCATCCACACATGTTTGATGTACGCATAATTTCATTTATATTATTTAAAGCAGAATCTGGAACCTAATTTATGGCACTGCAGCATTTTTAAAGTAAATTGTGTATATCCTAAAAGTGTATGTTTGAAATGCAGAACTCTAAGCTCAGAAAACTGACAGAGCAAATTTCCATGCTGGAAGAGAAATTGCGCAATGCATTCAATGAAAATGCACAGCTTAAGGTCAAACAGAAAGAAGATGAGAAGCTCTGGATAGGACTTGAATCTAAGTTCTCTTTTACAAAGACACTGTGTGATCAACTCACTGAAACTTTGGAGCAGTTAAATGTTCAGGTTCAGCTTGGTAGGTGTTCTTTATATAAGTTATATCCCGTGTTCATGTTATAGAAATGTTCTGCTGTTGTACTGATTCTGGACTACTACAGCTGAAAAGGATAAGGCATTTTTCGAAGATAAGATTTCTGCAACATCAGCTGTTCTGGATAAATTGCATGAGCATATGAAGTCTATGTCCTTGAAGTTGGACTCTTCGGAGGAAACAATTAAAACTCGTGAGTTTGATTTTATGCGCTAATTTGCCTCAAGGCTTTGGTTTCTGTGTTTTGATCATAATGGATCTCATGTCTAGTAAATTTATAGTTGTGATTTTCTGTCGTTGCATCTTTTGTAATTGTGGCGTGCTTATTTTCTTATAAATCAAGGTGAGAAGGAACTCATGGAACTTGGGCTCGAAAAGGGAAAATTGGAGACATCATTTAGAAATGAACAGAGCAGAACTACCTGCCTGATTGAAGAGAAAGGTAATTCTGATAAGGCATGACTGAAGACATGTTCTCGTCGTAGACTTTTTATGTACTAGACTAGTTCAATAAGTTCAGTGACAAGAGAGTTCTGTTACTGTAGATGTTTTCAAAATCAATTGCTTCAGGTTCCTTTAGTATACCGTTCACTTACTTTTTTTCTTTTCGAAGCAGATGGTACGATAAAACAATTGGAAGAAGATGTAGCAGCAAACAAAATGGCTTTAGAAAGTTTGACTTCTAAGATGGAAAACATGCAACTTGAGATGAGAGTAAAAGAAGATGATCTGCTTCAATTAAGTGTCACCAAGGAAAATTTGGAGAGAGAAATCAAGGATCTATTGTCCAGCAAAAATGATCTTGCTAATAGATTGGATATGGCATTCAAAGAGATCAAGAATCTTGAAGATTTTGTTAACACTCTGGTCGTGAAATTCACGGAATTGGAGCATCAAAGCCTGACATTTTCTGAAAAAGTCGTTGAGCTTAATGGTTTATTCGATTCATCTGTTAAGTTGGCTCAGCAGGAGAAAGACCTTATTTCTAAGTCTGCTCAACAAAAGTTTGATCAGATAGAAAATCACCGCACATGTGTTATATCTGAGAGAAATGCTTTGCAGTTTGTTAATCATGATTTGAACAACAAAGTTCTTGAACTTCAGAAAGAACAGGAATTTGCTATGGTGCAGCATGCAGAAGAATGCCGGTTAGCAGAAGAGAAAATTCGGAAACTGGAGTCTGAGCTAGAAACTCTTGTTTCTAAGCAGAGTGAGATGCAAGCCCGTATACTCAAAATGGAGGATGATCTCCTGACTTCATCCGAAACCTCAACATTATCTGATAAAAGAATGGTGAAAGCTCGTCCACTGAGATTTGTCCCTTGTTGTGCATGGAATGTGACATAAGTTGAATTGTTCATTTTTTTCTTCTCTGTGTCATTCAGCAAGCCTTGCTGCTGCAACTTTCTGAGTTAGAGACTCATAGCAAAGGTGTTGTGGATGGGCTAAAAGCAGATATCCTGAAAAAGCAAGACGAAATTGATCTTTTGCAGAAAGAGGTTGAGAAAAATGGAGAGAGTGTAGGTTCCCTTGAGAAAACAGTCAGTGAGCTCGAGAGGGCACTAGAGGAAAAGGACCAGATTGTGGCTGAACTAAAGACTAGAGAAAATGAGTTTGATGATCAGAAAGCAGAGGTTTTCTTCAATCGAGCCTTCAAGTTTAATTTTTGTAGAACAACCAGTTTGAAGGATAACTAATTATTTGCTCTTCTATTTTAGATTGCTGCATCACTGGCTAACGCTGAAAGTAAGCTTGACGAAGCCAAGAAGCAATATGATCACATGCTAGAAAGCAAACAGTTGGAACTCTCAAAGCATCTGAAAGAAATATCTCAGAGAAACGACATGGTATTCCTTTTCATTTTACTGTCGTGACAGGGCTACAATTATACCTTTTACCTGTTCTTCCATTACATCCATGAAATTGACTTCAATTGGAGTCCGATCAGGCCATTAATGATATACGAAGGAAGTATGAGGTGGAGAAGCAGGAGGCTGTCAATCTTGAGAAAGAAAAGGTCCATTCACTACTTTTTCTCTTTGATTCCTCGTTCAGGTTTGAGTTAATTAAGATTTATCTGCATCAACTTTCAGGCAGATAAAGTGATCCAAGATATGGAACAAAAATCTGAGCTTAAGATTGCTCAGTACAAAGAAGAATCTCGGCAACAATTGCTGCGAGTGCAGGAAGAGCATGCTGCCCTGGTATGCTACTAAATTAAGAAATCACGAACCTGAATTTGAAGTCTTAAGTTTGTTTTCCAATCAATAATTTCAATGAGGATTTTGAACTGAGTGAGTAGACAATATAAAACATGGTAGAGAAGGTGAGGTGTAAATATTCAAATCCCTCTTGAAAGGTGTAAGAAAATCTTGAAGGGAATATAGCTAGTTACTGTTTTCCTTTCTTCCCTTAGTATAAACCAAAAGATACAGTGAATATTACCTTGTTTCTCTTATGCCTCCCCATTCATAAATTAAATTTCCTCTTTATAATTTTCTAAATTTACATATTTCTATTTCTTCGTTCACTGCATATTGCATATTTATACTATTTGAGGCTAGAGAATTCTCATGAAATTAGTATCTAGCTTTTCAACAGAATTTGCATATTGCATATGTATATTATCTGAAATGTGTCAGGATTTGTGCTGTCGATGTCTTCTGTGTAGGTTATCAAAATTCAACAGGAACATGATAATAAAGAAATGAGCCTCACGTATAAGCACAGCGAAGAACTAAAACGCGCCCAACTTCAAGCTGAAACTGAATTAAGAGAGGTATATCACCTATGGAGTATCTTAATTCAAAGTTATTACGAGAAACGACTACACTATGTATCGAACACTGGATTTCTTGCAGAAAATAAAATCACTTAGGTCTGACCATGAGGCTCAATTAAGAGCTTTGAGGTGTGAGCACGAAGATGATTGCAAAAGACTTGAAGAGGAGTTGGCTGTTCAAAAGACAAAGGTATATTCTACAATTTCATGGTAAATAGTTTTACCACTACAATATATTGTTGTTTGTTATCTCAGGAAGAGAGGCAGAGGGCCTTACTGCAGCTGCAGTGGAAAGTAATGGGTGACAATCCTCAAGAAGACCAAGAAGTGACCTCGAAAAAGGTATGCCTCGTAACACAAAAGTACTTCTCTCCATAACTCATCATTATGAGAAACATGAATTAAGATTTTATCTTTCTCAACTGCATCATGAGATGATTAATATAACAGTACCAAAGTTGTATTGAGTTGTACGGTGTTCGATCATGTGGGAGCAAATCATTCTAGCTTACAATAGTCTTTTCCGGTGAATTAATTAGGGGAAATATGTTAACTTTTTCTACAAAAATCACTCAGATTATCTAAGAAGTCGTAACAATAACTGCTGATCATTACCAGTTTTAATGTTGAATATTAGACAAGAATAGTTGGTAAGAAATTTATTTAGTGTAATTGCACGATCCCCGTATCCTTTTTCTTTCTCACCACATGCTGTTGCTTGACACTTTTTTACGTAAACTAATACTTTGAAAAGATGAAATTACTCAGTCTATTTGATTCTCACAGAACTACTCTATTTCATCTTCCAAGAAGAGAAATAAAGACAGTGATAAAAGAACTCAGCATACTCTTGACAGAACAGAAGTTGAGGAAAAGGTGACTTTTAAAGGAAAACGTTTCCTTACTTTTGCGCTGCTTCACATATATGGCAATAATGGTCTGTCTTTCAATGCTTTTTGTAGGATTCCCCTTACCCGAAAGCAATTCAAACTCCAGTTTCAAATTTGTTGAAAAAGGCTGAGAATGTGAATGATATTCCTAAGCATAGCAGGAAGGTGAGACGAGACAACTTCACTTGGAAGTTATTTGTGACTCTGCACAAAAATGGGTGGATTATCCACATTTCCCGTATTTTGCCCATTTACTTTAGTCTCTCAGTTGGAAAAAAGTCTGATATCCATCTCTAACACGTCATTATTTGCAGGTTACCCACCATGAATATGAAATTGAAACATCGAATGGTAGAACAATCACAAAGCGCAGGAAAACTAAAAGTACTGTCATGTTTGAGGTCAGTAGTTATTAATCATGCAACAGTTATATAACTAATTTTCATGCTGCATAATCCAGAATCCGTTGAGGTTGCTTAAAACGAGTGGGCTCGTTGAGATAGCTCTCTAACTTTATCACAACCATCTGAATTGCAGGACCCTAGGAAGCACAGGAAGAGAAACACACCAAAAGCTAGGACACCGAAAAATGTTACACAGGCAAGTGTTCAATACATAGAAACACACACTTAAGACACAGCATTTTGGTCCCGAAACTTTGTTTTCTTTGTGCTGATTCTTGGTCACTAATTTGATCCAGGGAGTCAAAGGTGGAGTTCCTCCAAAACCTTCCAACATAGGTGATTTGTTTACCGAAGGATCTTTGAATCCATACGCAGATGATCCGTATGCATTTGATTAGAGGTATTATTCCCATTTCATCGTACTATTCTTCTTGAATAATATGAACATTGTTTAGGTCTATTGGTTCAATATTGCTGATCAACTTCTACACGTCATGAAACAATTGAATACACAATTTGGTTTAAACAAGCTGAACTTGTAGACGTTCGGAAAAAATATTAAATCGCCTTTTCTAATACAGTCTGTCCTTATTTGTAGGCTTTGAAACGTTATCTTCGCTGCACACAAAACGAGCCTTACTGGAAAGAGTATCAGCTGTGCTACGTATACCTCGTCACTTTAAATTTCTGAAGAGTAACCTCAGACATGTTTTGCCATATAATCCCTATCTCACCAGGTCCCACAAATTCTTCTTTAATCATCCATTCATCGAAATATTTCCGACTTAACCATCTGTTTTGGTTTCTTGTAAGCGCATCCGTATCTGCATTACAAATTGTACTTTCTGTTCATGACTTTTCTAGGTAGACAACTTGATAACACCCGTCCACTGTCGCGTTAATTACAGTCATACTGGACTTTATGTGTACATATATTGGAATGATATAAACAATTTAATTAGTAGGTAATTCATCCCTAGGAACTTGCTCATTGCATAATTTTTTACAACGGAAGGAGAACCTCATCTGTTAACTTTTGAATGTGAGCATAAATGAAATTGATTGTTCATTAATTATTTTCATCTTACATCCAGCTTTCCTCCACCTTTTGCATAAAACTGCTGCCAATAATGAAATTCAAATTTCATTGATTTCTTAGTAACGGTAACCAGAATTTATACTAGCTTTTATAAAGACCACCCATTAGTTAATTTGTGTGTATCTTGCAGAGATGTGACAATTAAAGTAGTTGTACTGAAGTGGACTCAAGTATGAATTTTGAGGCTAATAAAAGTAGGAAACTTTATTTAGTGGCAGATAGGCTCTCTAATGTGATTTTGAGGCAAAAAGAATCAAACCATCTTTTTAATTCAAAGCACCATTAATTATGGTGTAATTAGTGCAGTCCTTGTTCTTAGCAATGCTCTTAGTTCTAGACATCCTAATTTGCGTGCCCACTACTATATTTTCTCTTTTTTTTCTTTTTTAAATTTTATCTTCAACTTTTGAGCAAAAATGTGGGAGTGTTTTCTGTGCACAATTAATTCAAATCTGCTACAATGAATTAATAGGAATCTTAATAATATGGCCGTACGGACTTTATATTAACATTTCAAAATAAACTATACACAGACACTACTATAACTAAGGCAGGTTTTAGGCGTTTTCTTAACACTCATATAAAGTATACATTCGTGTATAATGAAAGAACAAGTGAAAAAGTTAGGAAAAAATATGAATATATAAATTGTTCGGCGCTGGTTTTGTAGAATCTACATCCACCATTGATCTACACATAACACACACTCCCATGTGTATGTGTGTTTCGTGGGTAATTATTTATGTAGAGCTACGATTTAAAACCACATGTTGCATTTCATTCGGTATAGAATTTCACAAGCTGTTCGGCAACACTCGAATAGAGTACAAAATGAAAACTATAAAGTATATCATCTCCTATTTATCCGGATGTCCTATATTGGACATTTGAAGACATTGCATTTAATTAGGCTCATAATTCAATAATTTTATTTTTTTATTTTTCGGCCCTGCGGTTAGGTTTTAACTATAGTTTATTATTGGACTAAAGAAACTCTTAGATTCCTTCTACGCCAGTATAATAATTACGATTTTTAATTATTTACACATGCTCCCTTTGTCAGTTTGTGAAATGATGTCTCCCTCACTCTCCTCCATCCTCCATTGTTTTCTGTTTTCTTTTCAGAAAAAATATTTAAAAAAAACTATTTTTTTTATATTCATATATAAATAATATTTAATTTATTCGTAACATAATTTCATATCCTAGACACTAGACACGCACTGTAAAACATTATATTATTTGAAGTACTCCACCAAAAAAACATTTTCCCAACATTTTCCAGGACAATGAATATATATATATATATATATATATATATATATATATATATAGATATATTATATTATGTATCTATAGATGATGAGGTCCCACAATACCCAAATCCAGGACCAGTGTAAAGAGAAGGCATCTCCCTCATTTACACCTTCCTCTGTAAAAGTACTTGTTTGTAAGCACTTTCTCATTCCCTCACTAGAGAGAGAGATAGAGAGAGAGAGAAAGTGAGAAGAGAGAGAGAAGTGAAAAAAAGAGCTGCACTCGAATCTGTTCTTCAATGGCGAAAAGCAGAAACCCCAGAAAGCACGCCAAAGAAAATCAGCAAGAAAAACCACATTCATGGGCCTCCCTCAGAAGCCTCTTCACCTGCAAGAACCTCCAAGTACAACAGCAAGAGCAGCACGTACAACAACAGAACCAGAACCAAAAGCAGAAGCAGAAGCAGAAGCAGAAGCAACAACTATACCAAGAGTTCGAAAAGCCGAAAAAGCAGAAGCTGAAACAACAAACACAACAAGACGAGACGAAGAAAGACAGCAAGAAAAACCCGCAAAACCCCGACGAGAAAACAAACAACATATCCAAGAAAATGAAGTGCTCCGGTTCAATCTGCAGCAACACTAAAGTCATGCAGAAACCCGAAATAAACTCCGAAGAACTGAAGAAGAGGGCTAATTTGGTAATTGGCTCATCTTCTTCTTCATCTTTGCTCAAAGAGAATGTTTCGAACTCTTCATCCTCTTCTTCGTCTTCGTTCACGGTGCCGCCGCCTTCCGCTTCACCTTCCATTTCCGGATCTTTTCGGAATATGCCTTTTCGGAAACTATCGGGCTGCTACGAGTGCCGAATGGTGGTGGATCCTGTCCTCGGAATGACGAGGGACCCTTCTTTGAGGAATAGTATTTGTTCTTGTCCTCAATGTGGTGAAATCTTCATGAAACCTGAGAATCTCGAGCTTCATCAAGCCGTTAGGCATGCAGGTAACTTTTTTTTTTTTTTTTTATTTTAATTTTTGTTAACCATTTTTTTATTTATTTTCATGTCTTTTTTGCTTAATTGTTATGAATTAATTACATATATTATATATAATTATGAGTCCAAGTAATTAATGGGAAGATATATATTTTAGTTTAAATAAATATATTTATTAAAAAAATTAACCGTGTTTATTGACATTCTTAATACTCGTACATATACTTAAAAATTTATTTATTTTGAAATAAATAGAGTAGAAATTGAGTAATTTACCAGTTCTCTAGTCAAACTTATTTTCTTGAATTTCTGGTAAGTGAGTACTTCAATGCCCTAGTAGTTCATCATAATCTCTCAAAATAAGTACTTAAAAAATTAATTGCCCTATATGTTTTAATTATTTTGGCGTTACCCTCAATTAATTAAATCTCCTACCTACTCTCTTATTATAAGTGATTTATTGCACAATTTCTCACTCTTTTCAACCTTCCATAAATCCTTCTAAAAAATTAAACATAAAATAAATAAATAAATAATGATACTTTAATTAAGATATGAGCTACTCCCATTTTAATGTAAAACTTGAAACAGTATCTGAGTTGGGCCCTGAAGACACAAGCAAGAACATAGTAGAGATCATATTCCAGTCGAGCTGGCTCAAGAAACAGGCTCCGGTTTGCAAGATCGACCGCATACTAAAAGTCCAAAATACCCCCAAAACAATCTCGAAATTCGAAGAGTATAGAGACGCAATCAAGGCTAAAGCCACTAAGCTGCCCAAGAAACACCCTCGTTGCCTTGCCGATGGAAACGAGTTGCTAAGGTTCCACTGCACCACGTTAGTATGCTCGTTAGGCCTAAATGGCTCGTCCAACTTGTGCAATTCGATACCGAATTGTAGCGTTTGTAGTATCGTGAAAAACGGGTTTAAAGTCGTCACTTCGGAAGTTTCTGCGAAAGGTAATATAATAAAATCGAATCATATTTGAATGACTACTTCTATTTAATTTTTTTTTATATTAATGTTTGTTTATATTTTGAAAATAGGTATATTAACGACTGCGACCAGTGGAAAAGCTCATGATAGTTGTGGGGTGGGATTGGACGACGGGAAGAGGGCTATGCTGGTTTGCCGGGTCATTGCGGGTCGGGTCAAGAAAAACCCGGATGTGAATTCGGAGGACTACGATTCGGTTGCCGGAGCGGTTGGAGTTTATTCGAATTTGGATGAGCTGTATGTTTTTAATCCCAAGGCTATATTGCCTTGCTTTGTTGTGATTTATAGAGGTTTTTAACTAGGGTTCTTGAAATAATATGTTTGCTGCAAAATGGACCTGGATTATTAATTTGTTCGATTTTAATTGTTTATTATTGTCTTTGTATAAATTCAAATTTGAATTTTCATATTAATATGAGTGAAGTCGTTGAATATGGACATTGATATCAAATAAAGTGTTACTAATTGAATACTAACTACTATTTTAGATATACTTTAAATAAATAAATAAATAAAAATACTATTTATCATAGTATTTTAGATATATCACTAGTTGTATAAATATTTATATTTGGATTGTCAGGAAAAGAAAAAGGCACGTGCCCTGACGTATAAGCACGTGGATCTTTGTACTCCCATGGGAATGATATTGAGAAGAGGAAAAGCTAAAAGCGCATCTCTGAAAACAGCAACTTTTATGTTTTTAATTAGCACTAATATTCTATGGGGGTAAAAACCAGCTTTAACCCAACGGTAAAAAATGTACAGTAAAATTAGTTTCCCATTTTTTTTTACCAGACTGCAGTCTGCAGAGCACGTAATAAACATTCTCTGCATGCAACCTGCAAATTTTTGCAGTCACTGCAATTCCATTTGTTTGGTAAAATTATTGCAGTAAAATTTGGCACCATTTTAATGCTTTTGAGTATTTGTTTTGTTTTTTAGCAGGAATTAATAATATTAATAATATTGTCGCGCATGAGTTTCTTGGTTTATGTTTAGTTTCAATCAATCCCCACTTTTATTTATTTATTTATTTATTTTTAAAATTAAATAAATAAATAAATAAAACTCAGGTAAATAATTGACTCTTGTTTTGTACTACTCATTGGCTGATGATTATATTGCTTTCTTGCATAGTAAGACTTGTTTGGTTAAAGTCAAACACCAAAGCATGGGGTTTTCAATATTTATTATTACCACTTTTTAATGAGACTAATTATTTTGTATAAAATCATTTATTTATTTATTTTAATAAATCCAAACAAGTAAAACAAATTTACAACTTTGGTTAGGGCACCCTATGTACGTTACACTAACCCCCAACTCCTAGACTACTACTCTTATTCTTCTCGATTTTTGTCCTATTTTATGTATTCAATTTCAAGAAATTTCAATTATTCAAGTTTAATCTCATTAAACCCTTGATTCGTTTATTTCATATTTATACAAAAAGAGTATTTTACGTAACAATATTTGTTGAAAAAAAAATAGAATTTTTTCATATATATATATATATATATATATATATATATATATATATATATATATATGAACATATATATATATATATATATATATATATATATATATATATATATATGAACATGTCAAATTTTAGAAATGAAAGTTCCAAGAACATAAAAAAAATTGTTATCTTTAATTTATTTACGAAGAAGATGATAGGATCGAAAATGAAATTTCGATAGGTTTGAATAATTAAATAACATGTATTCATGTACACATGAATACATATTATTTAATTATACGTTGGTCTCCCTGCTTATGGGTTTTATAATACTAAAATTATACTATTTTAATCAAAAATATATAAATTTTGTCAAATTTATTATTATATTGTACGTGCAACAATCGAACTACCGAACCTCGTTAAAATTAAATCAATTGTTATTATTGACTATATATATAGTTTAGATTGTACGTATTAAGTTATTAACTTATCACAAAAACACAAATATATACACTTTACATATAGTTTATACATAATAATCCATGTTGGAAAAAAATACATGTTATTACAACAATTTGTGGATATTCACTCCAAAAATAAACTAACATTCACTCATTAATTTTTATTTAATGGTCTTATAATGCGACCTTACAACACAAACAAATCACACAGACAAATTTTTTTTCGAGACGTACAGTTGAATAATACGATAACGTATTTCTATGCTACACGCGATGAATATTACTCCGGGTGGATTTTTACCATTAATCTACACACACTAGTATGTATGCATGTGTGTGTAAATGACTGATAAAAATCTACGATATGTAATATTCATCGGGTGTAGTATAGTCTAGACCCACGATCTAGTTAGTAAGAAGCAAACTAAAATCTCCGGTCAACATAAACCACGCTCCATGGACCAAAGCCGCAATCCCCGCGCCGCGAGCTGCAGCTTTCAACAGTGAGGCTTTTGTAACGCAAAACACCTCGCTAAAAGTGTACGTAATATTCAGTTTCCCGTAAGGAGTACCCGCCACCGTGTAACTGAAAATTTTCTCGGTGCTCAATCCCGCATCGAAAAGACTCTTCAACGGCACATCAACATGTCCGACAAATTTGTCTTTGACTAGGGTTCTCTTAGTGTAGAGTTTGATGGAGATTTTGACGCCTGAGCTCTGAATAGCTGACTCTCTGAACGTGTACTCGATGGGGAAATTCCATCTAGGGTTGGTTTCTCCGCACCTGTCAACTGAGGTTTTCTGAGTGGTTTTTTTGTCTCCCTTGAGAGTAACAACCTTTTTCGAGTAATCCGATTTCTTTAGACAAACCTTCGCGTAGACTTTCATCGTCTGCCCGTATTTACGGAAATCGGGGAGGTCGTCTGCTGAAACAAGGGTTATTTCGAACATCCTACATTCCATTTTTTTTTTTAGTATGTGGGGTTTTAGTTAATTTTGGAAGAAATTTGGATGTGTGTGTATGTAAATATGAATGAAACCCTAAATATTTATAGTTAAGAAACTAATGTCAGGTCTACAATAATTAGTTAGGGTTTTGGGTTAATTAATTAGTGGTTGGAGCTTTATTTTTTATATATTTATTGCGTGTTCAAGGATTAATTCAAAGGTAGCCATAATTGGTTGTTCGCAATTAATTACTTAAATACAGAAAGCTAATTAAATAATTAATTAACACTTGTTAGTGTTTGTGTACATTGACAATTTTGCCCCGAACAATGTTCGTAAATTTTATTTCTGATTTTCTCCAACACTTGCAAAAAATCTGACCCCAAAGTTAAAATTAGGGGTTTTTATTTGTTAATTATTATTTTTTATTCGTTTAATTGAATTAGAACTTTAATCATCTTTTAGTACATTACATTTACTTTTAAGATCATGTATGGCAACATCAGTGCTAATGATGAAATTTAGGTTAGTGCTTTTAGTAAATAGCACACAATTGATAATTTATTTGTTTATTTAATTGAATAAATGAGCACACAAATTAAGTATGTAAGTTAGTGAAGAGATTAACTATATTATTATTTATACATAGATATTGAGCAGAAGTCACGAGTAGTTTATTTGCAGAAAAAAAAAATTAAAATAGAAAAAAATAATAATTGAAAAAGTATGTTTGAGACTTTGAGTTAAGGAAAATAAAATATTACTCCCTCTATTCCATAATATCTGTCTCTTTTGAGAATTTCTTTTGTTCCATATTATCTGTCACTTTACAATTCCAATGCTGCATTAATTGCTTAATTTTCAATTTTACCCTTATTAATTCTATAACACTATTCCTGCATTAATTAATAAACAAGTATATTTTGGTCCATCAATATCTATTTTCCTAAAATTAAGACATATTTATTGAGATTTTTAAGATTTGTGCCAAGGTGAAAAACGACACCTATTTAGGAACGGAGGGAGTAATTTATTAGGCAATTACAACAAAATAAAATAAAAATAGGGAAACACAAGCCATAACTCGTAGACATACAATTAAGGGGTAAAATTGGCCAATAGAAGTACTACAACTATAAGAAAATAAAAATAAAAATAGATAGTCAATTTGCCATGTCAGCAAAAACACACGGATTGCATACGGTAGGGGTATTTTTGATACGTTTCGTAATACAGTGGTGTAAAATGCGACATACCCCATAATTCAGTGGTGCAAAATAAAATTACTGATAAAAAATAATAATTTTGTGATTTTTTAATTATTTTGTTATTCTTTTGTTCGTGTGTTTTAGAATTTAGATATTCAAAGAAATTGGCACAAATGCATGACGCTAGGAAGTTGTCTTGTATTTTCGTCACTCCTTCATAGTAAAAAAAAATTATTGATAAAAATAATAATTTTGTGATTTAATTACTTTTTTATTCTTTTGTTTGCGTGTTCTCGATATTCAACGAAATTGGCACGAATGCATGACGCTAGGAAGTAGTCTTGTATTTTCGTCACTCCTTCGTGGTAAAAATAAAATTAACGTAACGAATCAATCACGAGTTCAGTTACTTGCCATTAATTAAATAGTCTCGTACTATTGACCGACTTCTAATTCAGTATACAATAGAACCTCAATAAATAAATAAATAATAAATAATAAATAGTTTATTAATCTAAATTTTAAATTAAATTAAGACTGAAAAACAAATCAAGCTTGTTCATCAAGATTGAAGAATTTCCGAGAAATTAAAATCAAGTGTGGAGTAAAATATATCTTGATTCGTTGAGGGGAACAGATCAAATGACATAAGATCTCAATTTTATTAATTATTCTCAATTTTAAACTAAATGAAAGTATGAAACTGAAAAATAAATCAAAATTAAGTGTGGTGAATATTTTACGTAAAACATCAAATTAAGGCTGACGACTTGGTCCATGAACTCCAACAAATTATTCATTAACTTCTAGTAGCTGTGTATTCTAGAAAGGATTTCAGATCCATAACAAATTAATTAATTAAATCCCATACGAAACGAGAGTAGTAAATCGGAAATTCTATGCTACACCCGGTTATTAACACGTCCATGTGTGTGCGCGCTTAGTGAGTGAAAAAGATATGTCATCATCCATAGTTAATAATGACTCGCGCAGTTTTGGAAACAGCTTGTCTTTGTAATTGTCTACACATCGTTGACTTGGTCTCGTCGCTCCATGGAGTTTGACGGTATCGTCTCCATTTACTATATATTGCGTAATCCATCTCAAACCTACTTATCTCCATTTTCTCGAGGCAGATTGCACTTTTGAGGATGTACAACGCAAACTCAATCTCGTTTTCACTCCCAACAAATCCACTCATTTTCACTTCCTTCAGCTCCGAGTGTAAAACTACCGCCATTTCCTTCTTCCTCCAATCGATCGGCATTTAAGCAGCAAAGTAAACGGAAACAGCGGATATTAGAACCGGACGAAAGCCTCAAGAATCTATCCAATGAATTATTGATTAACTTAGAAACATGAGGCTTATTGTGCTCCATATGGCCGAATCGATGATATATGGTCTCCTAAAAGGCAGTCACAGACTCACAATTTAATCGGATAGTCGATACAAATCTGTAGAGATTCCTCCATCTGTGCGACAAAACGCACGTCCGTATAGCATCTTTTATGGGTATACGTGAGATAATCGAAATCAGAATGTCGTCCGGCAGTTGACTTATGATGTCAGGGCCTGGAAGATTTGTTAAAACAGAAAGTTACTAGCAAGAAAATATTGAATTTGCAAAAAAAACCCTGAACTTAGGCTAAATAACGAAAAACACCCCACCTATCCATAATAACCAAACTGTTCATCGAGTTTTCTAACAGAACATGTGTACAATCTATTATACCTTCCGTCAAATAGGTGAGAAATAAAATAAAATATCTGAAATTGTGTAATTCTATTCTATGGAATAAAAAAAAATCGTGAAAAGTCATACTACTATAAGGTGGTTGGTGTAAGACGGAAACAAATATCAGGGGTTTTGGTAATTACGAATAGGTGGGGTGTTTTTCGTTATTTAGCCTAAGTTTAGGGGGTTCGTAATTTACCCAAAATAAAAAGAAAAAAAGAAAAGGTTCATCATGCATTGCAAATTAAAGATGCTTGCTTTTTCTTGGAGTTTGCATGGCGTAGATAAAAAATATATTGAAATTCCCGTTGTAATGACTTGAATTACTAAAGAAAAATCGATAAAAAATATATTGAAATTCCGACATACACCAAATTAAATATACGTACAAACAATTGGCCACGTCGGATTTGATCTGGGCAAAGGGAGCGCGTCTATCTTTTCCACTAGGGTATAGAAAATTTGCAGAATTTCAGAGTAGAATAAAAATGGAATCTTTATTACGAAGCACACACGTGGCTATGGCGAGGAGTCCAGCCATGAAAAAAAATATCGAGCGGAATTAGGGTTTTGATGGCGGTTCCGGTGGCGGCGATGGCGGTGTAGACGGCAGAGATTTGGGAGAGAATATAGCAGCTTTGGAGAAGATGAACGGGAGAATTGGAATTGATGGGATTCGCTACGACGTCGTATTCGAAGCCCAATTGAATTTAATAAATTAAGCCCAGTTATATTATTATTACTTGCTTAAAATATTTATTTTTACTCAATAATTTTTCTATTATTTATTCAAAAAATGGTATTTACAATTTATTTAAATTTAATTTTACATTTTAAATTTCTTTTAGTGATATAATTGTTCGTATGGTATCTTATCTTATATATAAAATAAAGAAACGATAAGATAACCTAAGAAACTTTAATGATATATTTGTAAAAATAAATTTATTTATGTGTAAATATAATTAATTTTTATCTCCTATTTTGCAGTTATTTTTTTTTCTAATTACTTTAAAACCAAAATCTGTTACCACAATCATAATTCACTACATCTATATTTTTTTTAATTATTATTATTTTTTTTTCTAATAAAAAAACACATGTTAAATTTATTTAATGGTCTATTTCATATTATGACTATCAAGTTTTTACAGTTTTTCTTTTAATGAGTTTGTATTATTAAATTCGTATAAATATTGATGTTGTTATCGATATTACCAATAAATTTTATTATAATTGGTATTATCATATATTAAACTACTCATCATTTTCATTTGAAATGATATTCAGTGCATCTTAGGGGAGAAAATGATAGTTATCTTAATAAAATAAATCTAATAATTAAATTTATATTATAAAGATTAAAATTCACACACACTTGAAATTAAGTAGAAAAATAAATTCATAAAAATTGTAAAAAAAAAATAATCAGCATTGATTAACAGGCCAGCCTCCAACAGCACTTTCAGCCAGCAGCAATTTATCAATGGTGACTTTCTCTCCAAACCTGTAAGAAAACCTCATCCCTCCCTGCGAGTTCACAGACCCCTTCTGCACCGGGAGGCTGAGGATCGCGCTTCCGCCGCTCGATTCCGCGTAGTCGAAAAGCTCTTTCAGGGACGTGTGCACTTCTCCGATGTACGTGTCGCAGCGGAGCAGCCGCCGGCAGAACAGCTTCACCACCAGCATCGTGTTCAGGTGCTGCACCATCGACTCGTTTATCGAGTACTTCACCGTGAAATTCCACGCCGGGTTCGACTCCCCGTTGCGGTCCGTCGGAGTCCGCTTCTCGTTCTCCGGCGGACCGCCGCCGATGGAAACGGTGGCGTACACTTTCATCTTGCAGATCCGCCGGATTTTTTCCAGGTTGTTTGCTGATATGAGGGTTATTTCGAATACCCTGCACTCCATTTCTGTATATGCAAAATGGTAAGGGGGAGGATATATATATATATATATATATATAAACAATGACTTTGGCATGCATGCATGACACTAGGAAGTTCTCCTGTATTTTCGTCACTCCTTAAAAAAAAGTAATATCTACTAATTACATATTTCTAGCTTACTTGTTGAAGAAAGTCGAAAGACCAAAAGAAGTCAAAGGTGTTAGGTCAAGATTATATATTATATATATATATGGTAAATTGCGGTCAGGCCCCTGAGTTAAGGTCAAATTACAAAAAAACCCTCATGTTTGGGTAATTACAATTATCCGTCAACTATGAATCTTCTTACAAGTCTACCCTTATTGTGTCAAATTCAACAGAATCTTCTAGATTCCGTTGAATGTTCTCTAGTTTGTACTCGTTATATATGTGCAAAAATGCAGTTTAGGATGCACCACAATCTGATATTTACAAGTTAAGAGACACATCTTATGATCATCTTGCTTCAAAATATGGACCTCAAATGGGGTAAAACGTGTACAAATTAAAGAATATTCCACAAAATTTAGAAGATTTCACTAAATCTGACACATCAATAATGGACATGTAAGACAAGACGACTCCTAGTTGAGAAGGTAGTTGTAATTACCAAATACGAAGGATTTTTTTGTAATTTGACATTACCTCAGGGGTGGCCGGTAGAATATGTTTGTTTCTTGAATTTAGAGAGTATAACTATATAGTTTAATTTAATATTGAAATGAAAAGACTTTAGATTTGTAGAGTGGTGGTCAAATGGAACAACGCCCATTACCTTCCTATAAGTTTCTAAGTGGGCCCAGAAATGAGTTCAGCATATATCATATCTACAAATTCATTCATTGTCATGACTTTTGACTTCAAAAGATTAATGATATATTAATAGTTTCTTGAAATTATGGCTTAATTCATATATAATCATCATGAATTCATGATTAACATAAAAATATATATATATATATATATATATATATATATATATATATATATATATCCAACTTTCGATTAATTGTAAATCGAACATCGTCCTAATCAATCCACTTCAAGTCGAACCTTCTCAAAATCCCGAAAACCCGAAAAAAAACAAAAAAAAAAAAAAAAAAACACTTGACAATCCTCACTAGACAAATCTACAATGCCCTGAAAGCAGCAGTATGCAAATTTTACAAACATATATGCAGCAAAAAATTGTTGACTCAAACTCATGCGTTTTTCTGTTTTGAAAAAAAAAAAAAAAGACAACTCCGGGTATTCAAATCCGCAAGTCATTGTCGAAGCGAAAAAATCGTATATTACCGTCTTTCGTTTTTGCTACGTGGAAGTCAAGGATGTTTTTTGGCTGACATAAGCAATTTCTTGATATTTTAGCACAAAAAATCGGTTGAATTGTGTGATTCCCAAAGGCACCTGCATTCTGGCAAAGGGTTCAAGTATATCGAACCCTTTCTCGTCGATTTTTTAACTCTAGGCACCATTATACTCTTTCTGTCACTTTCAGCTAGCATCGTCTCCATTTCATCCTTAAAACTATCCCAACTACACAAATCCATGCACATGTATATAATGTATCACTTAATTAGTATATATCTTAAAAAAAAAAACTTGAAATTGTGTAATAAGGGATTTCAAGAAAAGACGTTGGTTTGGTTACCTTAAACTTTCGTTCTGTAATAAGACGACAAGCTTGCTTTTGTCGGGCATAATCGTCTTTGCGTGTCCATTGTATAGAAATCGTCTGTGTCCCATCAAAAAATGAGGGAAGTTTCCTCCTTGAGTCGTCACAAATACTTCACTATACAAACACACCATGTAGTCCAAGGCAGCTAATCTTGACGAAAAACCCTGAAAAAAATTATAAAATTAAATGGCGATATTTTTTGTATTTAAATATTTTTGCCGATTAAAATAGGTTGTCTAAATAATGAATTTTTACCTGGATTGAAGCAAGTTCATCGGAAGTAGCAAGTGACTCCTTCGTCTGTAAGAGAGGAAACATCTTTCGAAGGGGTTCTAAATATCTCTCCTCGTGGTAGATTGTGCCGGATGCTAAATATATAGACGTATTGTTCGAAAATCCCATACCTCTTAACATCATACCAACCTATGCTGACAAAGAAACAAATCCCGAAAAATGAGAAGCGTTATTTCCTTGTAATAAGGTTCGTATCATTTGATGAATGTAAATTACATTTTGATTTTGAGTAAAAGTAGTGAATTTTTTCGGAAAATTTAAATTCGAACTATCAAGAAGAAAGAAAATGGATTTCGAAACTAACCTCCACTGGGGTCATTGGGCACCTTCCGTTAACACGGTTAAGACCGGGTGCAAAGGTTCGATTTTTCTGCATGAATTTTTTGCCCCAACCCTTTTCACGTATTGCATCCATATCGGATTTTTCTGTATCTCCTCCGTCATACACGCAGCACGAGAAAGCCACCATGTCCTACATTTTTTAAGGTAAAAAAAAATGAAGTTTTGAGGCCAAAAAAAGATTTTTTTTTTTTTTTTAAATGTTTAAAAGTACAAATTACCTCTTCGAATCGGAGATGAACGGAAACGTATTTCCCGCCAGAATTCAGGCTCTTAACAGTCATTCGGTTGACTATTCTTTTCGCGAGATCCATTATGGTTGAAGAGAATCTCAGAGCTTTATAGTTTGCTAGGCATCTTAAATATTGAATATGCGGTGGAATGCTCGTTGCTAATCTGTTTGCAAATGGAGAAATTCGAACAACTCTGCACCAAAAGAACGATATGCTCCATAATTTTGCCCCTCACTTATAATAATAATTATAAAAAAAAAAAAAAAAAAAAGATGTGTTACTATGCACCTTGTTTCTTGCAAAACAGGATAAACTTCGTCCAAGTAAAAACGAGCAGATGCCCATGCTTGGACTCTCAAGCTCGGGATATTGCTAATGCTAAAATTATAGCTCTCCATTAACTCGTTCGGTAGTTCGTGAACCACCGTAACATAATCTTTAAGGGTGGATACAAAATAATCCTCGTCATAAATATCACCAAATTCACTGTAAATAACCACAATAAATTAAAAAAATTATATATAAAAATTAAATAAAAACCAAGCATTAAATAAAGATATGTAACAACATCAGAAACCACCATCCACTTTATCTTATGAATACTCTGTTTTTTGCTTTCGTGTATGATTGATACCATAGGAAGGAAATAACCACATAAAGTTTTGGTTTCGTTTCTAGTTTTAGTCAATAAAGTTGATGGCACATTTGCTTATTTTAGCATTTAACTAATCAAGTCCGATAAATTACGATAAAAGAAAAATAAGAGAGGGTTGACGAATAATGGAGACTTGCCTTGGATCGTTCCAAACATTATGAAGATCAAAGCGAGGAATTACGAGAGTAGCGTTTAGTAGCCCAGCCAAAGCAACAGCATTGCAAATCTGCAGGTATAATAACGTGCGCAACAAATATTATAAAGACATTTTTTATAAAAAGAATCGGTTCTTTAGCAGAATTCTGAATTGCATTACCGATGACCGTTGTTGATTTAGACCACCGTTAGCGTCTACGATCAAATAGCGCTGAAGCCCTTGGAATACTGACGAGGAAAATAAAATAAAATGTGGAGATGTCTCAATTATTTTTATTAAAAAAAAAAAAGACAAACAAATATACAGATATGATAAAAATGAGACACTCATACCGGGATGCTCGGGAGGAGCATTAGCATCCAAACAGGGCCGTTGCTCTTTCAGCTTTCTTCTGTATCTCCACAGATTATCCAACTAAAATAGATAATTATTTATAATTACCAAGAACTTA